AAGAGGTAACAGCTGTAACCATTATTTCTCTATTGAAGTTAACATAGCCTCCTGATTACAGTTAAATTGACTCGTTGAGTACTGGCCTCCTGAAGCAATTAAAGACTGAACTCTTCTGGAGTGTTTGGAGAATGAGAATGGTTACAATTGTACTTAAAAGTACAAGAAGTAAATAAATGAAATCAAAACATGTTATAAGTATGACTTCACATCATCTTAATCATTTCTCAAAAGCAAATTCTTTTTGCACTAAAGTGGAAAAATTGTGAGCAGTCCCATTGACTAAATTTGAATTTTTTTTCCTAAGATAATTTGTTTCAAGAACTTTCTTTTTTTTTTTTTTTACTGTTGGGGAGCAGTTTGCCAGACACCTATTAGGAATGCAATTATAGGAAGATTATTCTGGACAACTTTGTGTTAAAGATAAGACACAGTTTTGCTCTTCCCTGTTTACTAACACTTATTACTAAAACCAATCCTTTGAAGCCAATAGATTGGCTTTAATCGATTGGTGCACCAATCAATTCTTAATTCCTACCTTTGCCTGTTTTCCACTATGTCTCATAGTCTCAGTACAAACTTTAATATATGTATGCTCTCAAATATACCCAAGTATTGATTAATAAAGAGTTGAATTCTTTGTAGAAGAGAAGAAACAGAATTTTTTTAAAAAAAATATGAAGAATAACTTTCAGAAAGATACTTAAGCCTACACCTGAGACAGCTCCAAAATTTTACTTACACAAAATTGGAAATATCTTTCAAAAGGACATAGCTCCATTTATAATAACCATATTAACACGATCAAACACAGAAATACTCAAAGAATGAAGGTAAAATGTATTGTTGGAATAATATATCTTACCAAGTAAACAGTACAGAAGTTGCATCCATAATATACACTGATATACTGTACATTAGAATAGTATTAATTAAATAGCAGAGGGACATTTAAAGAATACTAACTACCCTATGAATCCAGACTACACTTTCTCAAAAATATTAACAAAAATGCAGGAATAGTTACATTAGTTATTAATGCAATAGTTTGAAATATTTTATTAAATATATTGTTACAAAGTAACAATTCAGGCAACAAACACCTTTTCTTATTCCATAACATAGCTTCAGCAAGCTAGACTTTGAAAAAAACATTTTTCCAGTTATAAAGCCTACAAGAGGCAAGAAGTAATCATCAGTAACATTTTATTATAGTTAAATAAATCAAGTGACAACTAGTTACATAGTTTTGCCAACCATTATTCTATGCAGATTATTAGACTGAGCTTTAAAAAAAAGGTGATTGAATACTTAAAAAAAAGTACTCTGAGACAAAAGTAATTAAATTACAATTCCTGATTCAGCTTTGCTTATTGTGGAACTTACAATGTTTTAGGGAAATGAAATAAAAGTATTTAAGGTTGTTCTAATTTTCACGATACACTTTGGTCTTTTAAGCAGGCTGTAATTCAATCAGATGCAGCAATATTGTTGCATGTGATTGAATTAACCAAATTGATCTACAATTTAGTTAATTCAATTGTTTAGCAAACTAAACTAATATCTAGAGAGGAAGTGCCTAGTACACTTTTGATAACCATGAAATAAATTAAATAAAAACTCTTCAGCATAGGTCCAATTGCGTGGATAATTGCCTCAGCTTTGATAAAGATGGCTAAGAGAGATTCTATTGCACAGTACAAAAAGGAATGAAAGTATCCATTTTACTCAAAGCAAATAGTAACTTAAACAGTGTGATTTGGATTAAATCTGAACATATATTCAGTTGTATTCTTATATATGTCTAATGTATATGTATGGCTTGTTGTATGGCTATAGTATTACTATTATTCCTCTTATCTTCTTTATTACCCCTCTTATTGGTATGATTATTATGATTATTATTATCCTGTTGTTTTGCAGTTACAGAGAGCTTCTGCACTGGAGACAAATGCTTTGTGCATCTAATCACACTTGGCCAAATAAAGTATTCTATTCTATTCTGTATTATCATGGAAAGACAATAATTACTGGTTTATTGTAAAGCAACTTACTTTCACATTTATAGGCCTAAATTTAACATTGATTACAGCTACACAAAGTTTAAACAAAAGCTACCATACCAATGAAAAGACAAAGAGTGAAAAAACCAAATTGTGTATACAAAGCCCCAAATTGCCAGAAGGGACGTCTAAAATATAACAGAGAAGACAAGAGTGTTGCAATAGCATTTAATACATTTGTCTCAGCAGAGAAATAAGGGAAAATCAGATATTAACTTATTGCTGTAATACAATCCAAAACTATACATTTGCTACAAGAATACTACATATATTCTGATGGCAATAATTGTTGAAATTGCATGCAAAGTCACATAATAATTTCTGCTGCCCACAATTCAAAATACATGAGAAAAATGTTTTTTCCCGGCACCTAATGATATATAAATGGCTTGAGCAATTTAAAAAAAGGGGGGAGGCTTCTTAACGAGATTCCAAACATTTTAGAAAAACTGCAAATGAGTTCTTATCACTCTACTAGAAGGTATTATTACTACCTAGATTACTGATTTATAATCAACTGCAATCCAAAAAATGTAGGATGTCTCTGTTGTTGTCTCATACATATACTGTTGCAACAAAATTCTAGTTAGAAGCTGTGAGGTTGGGAAAAGTTGAGTAACTAGCTCTCTTTATAGTTCCCATCCATTTAACTAGGAAGAAACTGCTCAGAGCTCCTAGGAAATTCTGACCTTAATTGGATATTCAATAAAAGCAGCTTTTTAAAATAAGAGTCAGCAAAATAATATCTCTACTTCTCCTGTTCAAAGCAAGTAAACCTGGTGTAAACTGTTGCTTTTTAGAACTTCAACAGAAACTAGTAACACTTATATAATGCAGCTTTATGAGGTGAATTTTCAAATTTTAGCTTGTTTTCAAAAACATCTTTTCTCACAACATGTACACAATTTGATTCTTTATCCTTGAAGAAACTTCATCATTTACTTCTCTCTCAACATATCTGAATCAAAGGCCAAATATGAAAGGTACGGTTTTTCACCCCCCCACCCCCCCCCAGTTACCATGGAACACACTACCATAATCAATTAACATCCTTTTATCCAGCAATTTAAATGGCTTTAAAAAGGATCAGACAAAATGATTACAAACAAGATTAACAGTTACTAACCATGTTACTAAAGCACAGCTCTAAATGATTAGACAATAGGGAATATAGCAAAAGGCAATTGTTCTATCCTGCTTACAGACTGATACAATCATCTAATTGGTTCCTATAGAACAGGGTGTCAAACTGGCGTCCCACGAGCCAGATAAGTCACACACACACACCAGCTCTACAAAGGCAAAAAAATTGCGATACGTCACGATGCATCACGTAATCGAGCTTTGACACCTGTGCTATAGAATGATGGGCAAGTTAGGCCTTAAACTTTACAGTGCTCTTTTCTTACATTCTTAAGATAATACCATCATGCATTACAAATTGCACCTTCTCTGGTCAGGAGTCACAAGTTTAAAACTGTTAACTGTAACGTTAAAATTATTTTAAAAAATTCCAGAATTTAGAACTATTCAAAGGCATTACCATAGAATACACAAGGAAGTAGTATTTCAAATACCAGCGTAAAGCAGGATTATTGAAATGCAAAAATTATCAACCAAGATTACAAGTATTTAAATGGGAACAGTACTAATCTCCTTGCCACATGGTCAAACTTTCTTTTACATTGCAAACAAGCCAACTTTAATTTCGTATCTTCTGTTTTCCCGTATTAATTACTAATTTCTCAAAAACTGATGAACTTGTATTCAAGGACTCAAAACACACACTCATGTAACTTAGGAAGTGCCTTGAAATAATTACCGCATCATGTAAATTGGGAATAATTAACTTTTGGGATTGAAATGGATATGTCAAATAAAAAAGGACAACTACTTTGAAAAAGCAAATTCCATGCTGGACATATTACAAAATGAATTAAATTGCCAATGTTAATATTGCCAAATTTTGTCTAGCACTTCTGATTACTGTACCAAATCTTTTCTTAATATGAGGTCATGAACTGAAGTTGAATCAGAAAAAAATCAAGTATAACAAAGAAGGCAGAAAAAATTATGAGATTCACAACTATAAATAGTTGGGACTTTAGACAAATTCTAAAAGGTTCTAAATTCTAAATGGCACTAATTCTGCCTTTTAATGTTGAATTGTTTAAAATAAAAACAGGAGAGGCCTTCAATTTGACCCAGGATGGGTCTTCCCAATCTACTTTCTTCTCCTCCATTTTATACAAAGTTACTTTTGTAAGACATTCTCCTCCATATAGAATTTTAGGATTACCAAAGTTAACTAAACATCATATTAAGATAATGTAAAAACTCTCAATCAAAATTGGGTAAGGTATCTGCCTTGTGCCAACATGTACTATGGATCTGCATATGTTCTTGATTATTCTATACATGGGATGCTAAACATCAAGACTGAAGGATACAACCACCTATAGAGTGTAGAAGGCTCTCCTTGCAGTCACACTGGCTGGGATTCTCTTTTTGAGCTAAGACAGCTTGGATAGAATCCATGAAATATTTCATACTTTGTTGTGAGAAATTCCCTTTTAATTGCTAGCACTGAAGGAGAAAAACATCCAAGAGCTACTCCTGATACAGATTGCCTTACATGTCCAAGGAAGGAAATTAAAACAGTGTATTTTTTTTTTTTGGGTGGTGGTGGTGAAAGCATTCAACAATTTACCACTGAAAAAAGAAATTTCAAGGAAAGATTATATATTTAAAGCCTCAAGGAAAGATTATATATTTAAAGCCTCAACCAATTACTGATTGAATAGCTGAGCATCAGACAAATAGATTTAGGGAAATTTCATCTCCATTTAAATTTAAATTAAACTTTACTTTAACTTGTAATGGTTGTTAATTCTACTATATTGTTTCTTTAGTCCAAAGAATCAAAATATTCCTGAATGGAGACAAATAACGTTTAATAAACACCTGTATTCCCATGACAAACCATTCATCAGTAATTTGTTATGCCTTTCCATTGCTTTAATCAGAACAATTCTAAATATGATCCAGATGTAAGTTTGCCAGTTTTTGTTAAATTATACAAGAGATCTTGCATGTTATGAATGATCAAGGTTCATGAACACTATACCAAAGATATACATCCTAATTTTTAAAATGTGCTTCATGTATTTGATATAAGCCTTTAGCAGGAATTATTAGCCCATTGGCAAAGAGAAGGTAGGGAAGAAAGGAAAGATAAAGATGTTAAATGTCAAACACCAATCAGTGTATATAGCCTCCATGAGTTTACTCCTGAAAGAATGTAGCCCTTGCCAATAAAAAAAGTTTATTTTACATCATACAACTTTTAGTCACCCACATGACAATATTCTCATAAATCATTATTATGAGAATGAGATTCCCCAGCAATAAAAAAGCAAGTGTTTTACAACACTTGTTAGGTAAAATTTAAATCTCCCAAAACAGAAGTAATATTTAAAGGAAAATAATATTGAAAATTAGCAAATGTAATTTTTTAGGAAGCCTCCAAGCTATTTTCTACAAAAATGCAAAATAAAATATAAAACAATGCACATTCTTGCAATGTGATACACAGCACTTTAGTGTTTTGCATTCAAATAAATGTAGACTGCCTCAAACGGTGCATACCCTGGACAAAACATCTGTTAAGCACCAATCCTACACACATTCATCTGAATCTCCCTGGACTTTGATCCGAGTACAGGACTAAATTATGAAGGCAACACTGAACTGTGATGAAAGTAACTTTGTTACTGATTAAAGAAACAGCCTGCTCTAATGCATTATGTTATCACTATCTGTAACAGGTGCTTGTCAACATGTACATATTGAGGTCATATTTAAGCTAAAGGCAATCTTAGGTATAATAAAGCTGGCTCTTTGTGGATTTAGATCATCCACACAACCATATAGTAATATTAAAACCTTATGGTAAATTGGAACTATATCGATTTAGCAAATGAGATAGTGTTGTTATTCATTGTGTAAAGTCATTCAAGAACGTGTCCTCAGAAAACTTGTTAAAATACTTCCAGTGGAATCAAACGTTGTTCAAATATGTATAGCTCAGGTAAAACAGTTTCTGCATTTTTCAGTTTTCCTCCAAATTGAACAGTCTTAAAATGAAATGAAAGGGAAAATGATGATAAAACAATGGAATTGGTCATTTGTAGAAGAAAGGTAACTTATGATGTATTCCTACAGAATCCACACTGGAAGCTTCTGGAAAATTAGAAAATGGTCACTAAAATTGTAGTTGCTGAAGAAAGACTTTGGCACTATGAAACAGAAGAAATAGGATTAAGTGGGGAGCCCATTTGGGTAAGTACTTTATCCAGCCACTGAAGAGGCCCATGAAGATGGATTTCTATCCAACACGGGGTGCTTGTAACATCTTGTCGATGGTATTCTGCTCCCCATCCCTATAAAGAATGACATGCATTTAACTAGATTAGGATTAGACACTGAAACAACTGATAATACAACAATTTCTATTTTTTTTAAAATAGGATTTGGTTTGAAGAATGTTAGCTTCATGCTTATCTCCATTCCATTCAACAAAAACATGTTATTTAAACCATCAATCCCTAATAGTTTTGTTGGATCACAATTTATAATATTTTTACTTATGATGTACACATGATAATGATGCAAAACTACAACTTGGCAGAAACCCCAGTCAACCCAGACCACTCATAAATTGTACTGGAATTGTGATTAATCATCCCCTAAATAGGTATAGATTCCCACCCCATTTTTCTTGTGGGGAGAAGAAATACTACTATTCATTAGGTCAATCGAAAGAAGTGGGTAATCTTCATCCTTATTTTGTCCTGCAAATGAATAAAGCCTGAAAGACATCTATGCAAGTACCCATACATTCTTATGTATACTTTATGGCATTTATTCGTCTATCTATACATCCTTTTAAGTTATTCACAACAACAAAGAATAATAAATCTGAAATGCTGGATTTACTCTGACAATTTGCTAATTAAATATAGCAAAAATTCCAAAACCTGTTATATGCTAAAATTGCAGTCACACGTAATACATTCCAGATATATTTCAAACAGATACAATATCATAAATAACAAATATGCCACGCCTTACCTTTACAAAACTCATTCGAATTGTGCACATTTTGGTGAGCTCATATACTGCCTCAAATCCATGATTGACTGACTGAGCTAGAAGCTGAGCAAATTCCTGATTGTTAAAAATTTTAAGACTACAGCCACTGGGAATCTTGCATACAGTTGTAGGGTGAAATCCGTGATGATAATTACAATTCCTACTTTGTACGAATATGCTGCTGTCACTCAGGCATTCTGCATAGACTTCCCCACCAACATAATACAGATGAACGCCTAGGGGAAGGAGAAAAATCCCAAATATTTAACACAGTTAAATTGCAAAAATGATTATAGCCTTTTCCTTTCAGCTGTTAGGAACTCTAGCCAAATTTCTATTTGAAGGATTCCAACTGTTTCCAGTTGTTTAAATATGTCAAGTGTATCATTTCAAACACAAAATATCTTAACCACTAGATGTCCTCATCTTTCTTTACTCAGTACATGATAGATAGAATTATTCAATAAATAAATGATAAACTATTTTTTTCTTGCCTCATCAATTGGGCCTAGTGTGCAGGCAAAACTGGTATGGGAGATGGACTTTAGGATTTTAAGTCATCACCAATAGTTTGAATTGTATCCAGAAAGAACTTGCATGCCTTGTAGAACAAGTCTTTATAGAGTACTGCCAGTTAGCATCCATTATTGCTCACTGCTACCCAATGCTGTTTTGAAAATGCATTGTAATAAAATCTAATCTAAAATAAATCTATATTGCATATCTCACTATGGCAAGTCTGTGCTCTCATCGAGAACCGATGCAGGTAACAAACCAACTGACATTAAACAATGCTGCCTCCTAAAATTCTACATGCAAAGTTAAATTCAGAAGCACCTAAAGACAACAATCTGATTTTTCCAGAAGATGCTATACCTTGAATTGGGCTGCATTCTGCCAAATCACCCTTTGTATCACTATTATATTCAAGGGTATTTTAGGGACCATACAATTCTACCACCGGCTTTTCCCTTAATTGGTCTTTCAAACCAGAAAGATAACTTGTCACTGTCCCCTTCAGCTCTTAACTTTCGCTTTATTTTCAGTATGACTTGTTATGACAGAGTCAGGATATCTGTACAAATCTGTACAAATAAATATGTACACCACGTACAAGAGATTAGAAAATAATTAACTATTTGTTTACCACTAAAACTTTAGTGATAAAAGTAGATAAAAGAAATTTTTTGCAGCAATGTTTCATTTACAAAGTTGCTAAAATATCAAGCTGACATTTGTTTTCAAGCTGAATTGTTCGGATTTATAATATTTTTTCTATGTGGAACATTACGCAAAACTGTATAATTACATTTAATTTATCCAAACTGCAAACACAATCTATTTACAATCATATAAGCATACTTCAGGATTACCTTTTCCAATGTGTCTCCGAGTATTCTCAATTGTTGAGTTACGATTAACATTGGAGAGCAAACCTAAGCAGAATCTGTTTTTGTTGTTAGAAGGATCTGTAAAACCATCTACTAAAATACTGGTAGAAGACGCATGAAAAGCCTCCCCAACACGATTGTTTAGTTCATAATACACTATTGAACACCAGTGTTTTGGTTCTTCATAGGCCACAGGATGAACATCTACAAACAAACATGAAATACCTGTAATAATTCCAGCATCTACAGCCTCTTGACTAGAGTATTAAATATGTATGCATTTTTCTTATAGCTAAAGAACTTGTTATTTTCCTGCAGGAATCTTCTCAACTGGTAGTGCCATCTACAGCAGATATAGACTGTAAATATTACTCCAGGATCCTGAATTCATTAATGAGGTATAAATACATTAATTGAAAGAACAGCAAATCTCCTTAAACTGTTTTAAGATAGCTTATTCCTTTAGCTAAAATTCAAAGATTTTAACTTACAAATAAAAATAATACAGAATATATTGGCATGCTCAATATATGCTGAATCATTCAACAGAAGTTAGCTAGTCTTTTGAAGAACAGGCTGTTAAATGATATCCATTAAAAAAAGTTCCATCCTTATCAAAAATAACTTTATGCTACTACTTATTACAGCAAACAAACATACTTATTCTATCTTATCCTTTTCCAAATTCCAACTAGTTATTCTCCTTGGCATAACCTTGAACCTTCTCTTATCAACAGTTTGCAACACAGAAATAAATGCTCTGGAATGCAGTTTCAACTTCTTATATATGGGAATTAACAGTGTGAAACCCTCAAAATTATCTCTTAACTTCCATTTAAATACACATTTAACCGCAACTTGCTTTTTAAACAAAATATTCTCTGGTCTGTATTTCCCTCACCCTTTTTGAACCCATGATTCAGATGAAAGGGTAAAATGTTGACCAGATGGCATTATGCTTCTCTTTCTAGTCAACAACTCTCTGTATCTCTAATGACCAAATTCTTAAATGTAACAATCCCATCAACTAAATAATAAAATATGACAATAATTTATCTTTTTCCTTCAGATCATAAGTGGCAAATTATCATAAAGGTTCAAAATGTTAACAAGTTTATCAAGTTAAAAGTATATCTCACCTCTGCTCGAAATATTGGGCATTATCTGAGGAATTATACTATTGCTTGTATCCATAGATTGTGAAGTATCTTGACCCATTTGGTCTTCAGGAGGCATATATGCAGGTGGTGGTGTATCGGCTACAAATGAAAAAAAAAAGAATGTTTGAATAGTGTTAGTATATTTACCCTGAACTATCAGATTTTTTTCAACTATAATCACAACTTGTCTTTTCTGTCATTTTCTGCCTCCTCCCATTTTTGTTTGGAATCTAACAATTTTCTATCATGAAAATGTTCTCTTCATTCTCAGTTGAGGTTTCTATGGATCTCATTCTCTTCCTTTGCCAGTCATTTATGTCACAATCTATCTTGCTTCATCTAGTTGAAGCTCCATTTCATTTTCTTAGGATCAGAAAGAAGCACCAGCAGATTCTCCAACAGATATATTAACTTAGAAGCTGTTTCCTTGATATTAATGAGTTCTATAAAGTGGATTTCAGGATTAGCTGTAAAAGATTTCTCATTTTGAAACTTATTTCACTATATAGTTACTGCTGCCACTATTTTCTGCTTTCGATTTATTCTCTGAAGCTCTACAACCTTTTCACCCTCTCCTTTATCTCTTTGCTTCTATCTCCCAATTGATGTCTATTTAATCACCTGGAGTACAAATACAGCATAACCCAAATGTAATTCTAATTTCCTCTGATTTTATAATACAAGTTCTACTTTTCAATGTTTGTCATACAAATAGTCCTTACCTGGTAGTTGAAATGGGCTAGATGGTCCAGAACTAGCTGGAGAATTTGGATAGGTACTGCTGCTGCCTGGAGATGGTGGGTATGGACTATTTGGAGACATGGGAAACGGAGTGCTGTTAGGCTGTTGGAATGAATCTGGAAAGGTAGCATTGTGTGGCATATGTGGTTCATTGTGAGTTAAGTTTCTAAACTGAACCAAAAGGCTATGCTGTGGGTTAAATTCACTGTGCCTTGGCACCAAGACTGGAGGTAAAACTGAAAAAAAAAAAGAGAAAACATATTAAAATAGAGTCGAAGCTTTAAAGAGATCATAATAAACTCTCGAGGAATAAAAGTGCAAAGAAAGAAGCATATGCCAGAAACTTCATGTTTCTCTACTTGGAAAAAGAGTTACTCCCAGAATGTACAACTTAATGATCCAAAGCCAGATGTTGTTCCATAAAGTCTTGATGCCCCCAAATTTCCTCCTGAAATTGTTGCTCAATTATAACTTTTAATGTAACAAAAGTCATTAAAAAGTCATTAAAACATGAGAATTATGTCTAATAATATTTAAATTGAGGTTTTGCCCTAGACTCTCCCAATTTTAAAAAAAAATTCTACTCAAGTTCCCACTAAAGTTCTTGGATTTGAAAACATGCAAACCCTGTGGATATTATGAATGTACAATCCATTTGCAATTGAACTAAAATTATACAGAACTCTAATGCAACACATAGCTTTTCTGTATTAAGACAATTGCACAAGATGATTGAACAACTGTGATCTTAAATAATAGAACATGTGAAAAAGAAATATTTTAGGAAACATTTTCCAGCTTTCAATCATCAATACGTAAATTACTTTATGCATTGATTACTGAAAAAAGACTAAGATTGCTATGAAAATTTATCTTATTTAACAATACAATTATCAAATCAATTGATATTGTTTATCACCAATAGTTTCAAATATCATAAAGTTCAAGGAGGAAACAATCAAAAGCAGGGTTCATATATTTCATTATGCCATTATGAAATTTTGGTTTGGTTTAAAGCAATGGCTGTTATCAGCATGGTTTGTAGACTATGGTTTATAGGACAGCTGTAACATCTATGGACCTGGCTATTGGAGGATGCTCAACAAGTTATGGTTCTAGTCTACGGAGTATCGATGTTCTCAGATGCAATTCTCATGTACCAACTTTTCCCTCCCATTTTCAGTCAACTATTTTTGATGGGTAAAGGCATTGAAACACACCTGGGCTCTCCACCCTTTTGTAATGGTATGGGTTGATACAAACTTCTTTCTGTTTAGATCCAAAAGGAAATTCACAAATGTCCAATGGCTTCAGCTCATGATGGCTCTGCAAATCAGGCCAACGCCACACACGGCAGTAAATCACGTGGGGAAGGCCTTTGCGGTGTGACACCTGAAGCCGCCCATCTAATGAACGAGGAATTGTAACACATTTGCTGGGTTGACCAGGACTACTTAGTGCCTTTTCCAGTTCCTCCATGGCTCCTTTTTTCTTCTTTAGTTTTTTTACCAAAGCATCGACTGCTTTTTCTGCCCATTTTTCTTCTTCATCGCCTTGTTTCCAGCCCAACAAGCGCTTTACAGCTGGGCTAGTAAAAGAGAACAGACTGGCCATTGAGGTCATTTGACAAGTTTTAAAGCAATTTTTAGAACAAAACTGCTGTTTCTCAGGACACAAAAATAACACTGCAACTGCAGGTTAAATTCTTTTTAATCCAAGGAAGTGATTTTTCTTAGACCTATAAGAAAAATTACAGAACATCAGTTGATGCCAGCTTACACAGAGAAATGAAGGCAAACACAGAGAATAATTGGATAATTTGAAACCTCATTATATTTAATTCCCACATGATACATATTATTAACAGCCTTTTAATCTGAACCAATTTTCATGCCGTGGGGATAACACTTAAAAGACAAAACAGTTGGTGGCATTAACAAAGGAAGTCTTGTGAGCCAAACTCCTTCTATCATTCACAAAGGCTAATCATTTGGTCAATTGGGGGAAAAAAGCTTGGATTTGTTTTGTAAAGATAAATGAAAAGACGTTTATTTTAAACTTCAATCAATTTGAAGTCAATGCATGGTATATCTTATGAGAAGATGTGTATCTATTAAGGCAGCAGTGGAAATACTCTGGTGATGTCTGAGCTGTTTAAATGATAGCAATTAGGCACTGGAAACCCTCTGGTGATTAGAAACTGATAGCAATTAGGCACTCTGTACACAAGAGATTCTGTAATAAAGTTCCAATTCTGAGAAGCCACTATAGTTTCTGAGGTTTTACTCCTACTGTTCCTTTCTGTTAACTCATCCTGAACTTGATGTTGTGCTCTGGATCATAAAAGGAGAATCTATGTCTTTTGAAGAGACAACTGTGTGGATTTCATTTAAAGGAATAGAGCAGTGAATGATCAATGGTGTAAGCAGCAATACAAAAGTGAGCAATCTCTGGCAAAGGAAGCCCCTTGTTGGGGAACACTGCTCAGACCCCAAGAGAGTCAATCTGGATTGCTGCAGAACAAAAACAAAATATATTGCTGAGAGTTACACACAGCCCCTTTTTGTTACTAACAAGGTCCATCTGCAACTCTCTTTAAAAAATAAAAAGGAGTAAGGATGACAAACGGAACTAATGTGCTGTGGCAACATGTTGATAAGACCTCATAAAATCCCTGAAGAATACTCAACAAGTACAGACATAGACAATAGGCAGCTGGCAAAAAGCAGCACTAAACAAAGAGAAAGGATGTCAATAACAAGTCAGTTCCGTTTCTGCTACAGAAACTGCCAAATATTGTCTATGGGGTTTCTGATAAACTGCAGCAAGTCAAAACAGCTAGCCCACCCTGCTGCATTTTCAGCCCATCAAACACGAGGCATTAATAGCAATAGCAGTAGACTTATATACCGCTTCATAGGCCTTTCAGGCCTCTCTAAGCGGTTTACAGAGAGTCAGCATATTGCCCCCAACAATCTGGGTCCTCATTTTACCCACCTCGGAAGGATGGAAGGCTGAGTCAACCCTGAGCCGGTGAGATTTGAACCGCTGACCTGCTGATCTAGCAGTAGCCTGCAGTGCTGCATTTAACCACTGCGCCACCTTGGCTCATTAAGGGCCAGAAAGCTGCCTTCCTCGCCTTGCTAATTCTCAAAAGATGCTGCTTCTCAATAACTTAGTAGGAAAATGTGCCTGGCAATCCCAGCTACCTGTTTTTTCAGCGGAGAGAAGACAGTGGCAGGCTTCACGAGCAAAGACAGGCAACAGTTTTTTACCGTCTGCATTCGGCATCTCTCTGGATGGGGGGGTAAGGAAAGGCCGCACAACTAAACAAGAAAAAAAAGCATATAAAGAACAATCCAACAACAGCCATCCCCAGCATTTCTTCACTCCTCGTGTTAGGAAGCTTATCAGGATGCCACAGGTGCTGACTTGGTACACTCTCTACATTATCATAATAGGGTTAAGCTGACAAAGCGCATTTCCTCATTCAGAAGTTTAGTTCTGCCCAAGAGGCAATAAGTAAAGGATTTAGGGCTGGTTCTCCTCCAAAAAGGCAGGTTAATACTCTGTCCAAAATGTACAAGAGTACACAAACAGACACTTAACACGCCTGTACCATGAATTAAAACTTCCCCGCTTAATGACAAATCAGCCAGAACGGGAGGCTGAGTAAGTTTGGATTTTGGGGAACAGGACTCCACAAATACAACCTCTCCCCCCCCCCCATCAGCTGCTGATGGAGGACGTCCACAAAAGGCAGCTTGCGTGGCCTGGCAATGCTAATGCTTTAAAAGCCTTTAAATGCAATATCGATCCGTGTCAGATCGCCCGCAAGCGTGGGCCAGGCCCAAACCGGGGCACCTCGGGCTCCAGTCCCGGTGAGCCACTCTCCCCGTCGCAGAAGGGTGTTTTTTTTTGGGGGGGGAAGGGTTGCTACGAAGAGCCCCCCCCCCCGCTTCTACCCTGGCTTGCAAAGCGAGGAAGTGCCTGGCGCGAGATGCGGACGCTTCTTCTCTCCTCCTCCTCCCCCCCAACAGCTTGCAAACGGCAGGCGGGCGGGCTGGGCGGAGAACGATTCCCGCCGCCACTTCCTCTCCCAGCAAGCCACGAAAAGGGCGCCCTCCTCTTCTTCCTCCTTTTATCCCATCCTCCCCCCCTCCGTCCTCTCCGACTTTTCCAACGGGTTTACCTACCGCCCGACTCGCGGCTGGCGGACGAAGAAGGAAGCGGCGAAACCCCGGCCAGGAGAAATCGACAAGACCTGCCGAGGAGGGAAAAAGAGGCGGAGTTAGGCATGTCTGTAGAACCGAGGGCTCACGTGACAAGGCCATCGGGCGAAAGGCGGCTGGTCGAGCCTGTGCGTCAATCAAGCGTACGGAGCCTGTGATTGGCAGAAAGAAGGAAAGGAGGCGGGAGCGGGCTCTCCAGGCTTCTGGGGAATGGAAGGTGAGGGAGGGGGGAGAGGAGAGGAGGAGGAGAGCAGGCCTTGGGTATGTTTGGTTGTTCTTATGCAGCGTTGCGTTCGCCGCGTAACTTGCGTTTTGTTCCTAGCCTTTAGTCCGGCTAAGAAGCTACCCGGCTTCCTCCTCGTGATTTCATTGCGGCTTGGGATGTTTCGGGTTCACAATCAGATACTTCTGCTCCCTAGAGGAGAGACTTACCAACGAAGTAAGGAAGTACATGAAAAAATTGTACAATGTAAGAGCTTTAAAAAGCTACAAAAACTCGGACGTAAAAGACAATTCGTGGAGAGAAATTTGGAGGAGGACCCAGACAGCCGCAAAGAAAAGTGGAAGCCACTGCTAGACGAGTTTGTCAAACTTTGTTAAAAAGAACAAAACAAAAATGAAATCGAAGAGCAGAGACCCTGGGCTCAGAAGGACAGGCAATTCCTGCCCGGTATGTAATGCCGTCCTGGCTGGAAGGATTTATAAAACATCGAGGAACCCAGAACGATGTTGCACCTGAGGTAAGAAAACTATACAGGTAGTCCTCAACTTACGACCACAATTGAGACCCAAATCTATGTTGCTAAGTGAGACATTTGTTAAGTGACTTTCCCCCCATTTTACTTTTCTTGCCACGTTTTTTAAGTGAATCACTGCAGTTGTTAAATTAGTAACACGGTTGCAAAGTGAATCAGGTATCCCTAATGACTTTTGCTTGTCAGAAGGTCACAAAAAAGGGATCATAAGATCCAGGGAAACGGCCACTGTCATAAATATGAGTCAATAGCCAAGCATCTGAATTTCAATCACTTATCCCTGGGGATATTACAGCACCCATAAGTGCGAAAAACGGTCATAAGACACTTTTCAATGCCATTGTAGCTTTGAACACTCACTAAGCAAACTGTTGTAAGTCAAGGACTACCTGTATTCCAGATCATTATATATATAAAAAACTGGGCACATCGTTGACCCATAGCACATCGTTCCACATGTGGAGCTTTGTAATTAACTGTAATCACCTCTGTTCTGACCCAGATATGCATAGGCAAACTCAAATCAAAGTTTTCTTAATCTAGCGTGAACAGTGCTGTATAATCTTCATGCTAGTTGGTGTGTTTCAAGATTATGTATGTAATCGTGTAGCTGTCTGTTCAGGCAATCATTTGCATAAATTATATCACTGCAGCCTGAGAATGTCATTCCAGGTCCTGTAGAGCAAAACTCTCTGGAGGAAACATTGAATACAGAGGTCGTCTCATCCACACAACACCTCCACTCCAGGGACTCAAGTGAAAGCAGTGCACAGTAGTAAGGAGGATCAACCAGCGATGTTGGAGGATCAAACAGTGCATCCAACAGTGTCATCCATAAAGCCACAATCCCTCAGTCAAGAAAGAGGAAGAAAAAGAAGACGACGATGGGATGGGACGAGATACTGAACAGCATTGTGACTATGTTAGAACAGCTTCAAATCTATACTACAGGGATGTCCCAGTTGAGCCTCATCAACAGCAGGACTTATATAGCCCTTTGTGACTTTCATAGCCAGCGTCTGACAAGCGAACAAGCCAGACTCACTGAAAGACTGCATGATGCTTAATAACTGCAGTGATTTACTTAACAACCATGGCAGAACAGAACATAAAATCTGGGGCAAATCACTCAAGAACCATCTTTGTTAGCAACTGTAGGGTCTAGGAAGAGAGCCAATGCCCCTGCTCTATGGTATATTCTACTCCCAGAGGTGAGGCAGGCCCCCACTCTCCTGGCCTTCTGAAAAGGAATTAAAACATGGCTCTGTGGCCTTGCTTGTGGAACGCAGAGGAACACACAACCTTGGGGCTGGCTGATGCCTCGAGAAGCCTCCCTTCAACTTTTAACTAATTTTAACAGCATTTATTTATCCTTGCCTCTTTGTAAATCTTTAATTTTAAAACCTTAACTTTTATATACTGTTTTTATGTTTTAATGTTTTATTGTACAACAGATCAGGGTCCCTATTTGTGGGAGATGGGCAGTTCAAAAATGTTCCATCTGCATGCCTCCTGAAACTAGCCCATCTGTGCTAATTTCATTCTTGAATCAAAAACCAGTGACATACTGTAAAGATTGCAGGATTAAGACTCATAGATTGTACTGAATTAAAAGAAAACAGGACTCTGTCCAAAAGTAACATCAAATTTCTCAGATACGGTATTGAGGCAGGAGGACATTTAGGATATGGTATCATAGCCTATATTGCCAGTTGGGCTAGCTCACAGGTGTCAAACCCGATTGTGTCACGTGATATATTGCGATGTATCATGATGTATTTTGCCTTTGCAGAGCCGGAGTGGGTGTGGCCTGCACATGATGCATCTGTCTCACAGGCTGCCAGTTTGATACTCCTGGGCTAGGTGATCTTTCTATTGTTCAATTTCAGCTAGCAACTACTCCCTATTGATGTATGGTGGGACTTTTTTCATGGTCATTGGCAGCCAATTTGGTCTAATGCCAACAATTAAGGTTAGACTTTGGTAAAATATCTTGGTTCTTACAACAATGCAAGCATGTAAGTGTTCAGAGAAAACAAACTTATTTCAAAAGCTAAAGTTCTTTGTAGACAAATCCAAGGACTGTGGTTGAGAGTAATTTTACCAATTCAGGGGTCATCCAGGTATGAAAAAAGCCTCCCCTCCCCCATACATTCAGGTAGATGCAAGGTTGAAAAGTTGTTTGCCAAAAGAAGTCTGACTCACAAGATCTTTTACAGCACTGGTTCAGGCATGCCTATTTTCCGAGGTCATGCCTCTTCTGAGGGACCTCATTGAACACTTTGTTCTACTCATTTAATCTTTATACACATGCAAGGCTTGAGGATAATTTGCAGCTTAGGCCCTGAATCAGCTTCTGCAACAGGTAACTGATCACCTGACTGCTCCAGAACTGCAAGCTCATCCTCCCAATAGATCGTGCTCTTTCTGACTCTTATCTGCACCTAGCTGAGAGCCTGCTGGTTCCAGAGTTACATGGTCAGAACCTGTTGAATCCTGGTTCTTTCATTTAAAGTCTGATCCATCAATCCAGTCCATAATACCTAGCTAGCTCAACTCCCTACAAGATGTGATTTGTCCACGAGAATGGGGAAACCCTCATCCCACTAACTTCTGTATACTTCTTCTGCCCCAAACTATTTTGAGAATTTCCATTGCAATAGAAATTGGGCTTAAGATGTTCTAACATCCTGATTTATTTTTTTAGGATTAGATGGATTATAAAAGGGTGCGGGGGAGAGAAAGACTAGGTTCATACTTATTAAAACAACTGGCTTGTAAAAACTTGCATTTGAGTTCTTCATTCTAAAGGTCATGTAAATAAGTGCCAATTTCATTTATTTTTTTCATCTTCTAAAATTAAATTTGTCTTAGAATCCCCATTATGTCCTCTGGAGTAAATAATAAATATGAAATTTCAGAAGCAACAAAGACATTAGGACCAAAAACTGCAAATGATAAATCTTTGTTGAATAAACTGCCCTAGAGCAACCTGGGAAAATCAGACTTGCGTTTAATGAGGGCTGGGGAACTATGGCCCTTTTTATGACTTGCAGACTTCAACTCCCAGAATTCCTGAGCCAGCATGGGGGACGACGGCCCTTTTATGACTTGTGGACTTCAACTCCCAGAATTCCTGAGCCAGCATGAAATTCTGGAAGTTAAGTCCACAAGTCATTAAAGGGCCAGAGTTCCCCCTCCTGATTTAGTGCAACAGACCTGTCCCAATAGGTTTCCAGAAAATGTAGGGAGGGGGGATATTTTAAAAAGGGCCTGTGGATCACAGCTTCTAATGTGAGCCAACTCCCTTATTGTTTCCACCAAGAATGTTTGGTGAAGAAGCAATAGATGCTGGCTGAATTTCATTCCATCTGCATGTTGTTTGGAATCTTCCAGAGCAAAATGCCCAATTTTGTTCCATTCAGGGACATCTGCAGTCAAGATGGGGATTGATGGCTGCCCTCCAGACTCTAGGCACACATTAGGCTGTATTTATTATTTGAATCAGACATTTTCAGGCCCTTAAAGGTAAACACTATGTTAATTGCTTGATGGAACCTTATGCTTTTTTTGGTGAGAAATGAAAACACTTAGATTTCTTGTATCCTATTTTTCTTTGTTGGCACTAGTCATCACACTCTGTCATCATAACTCTGTCTTTTATTTTTTAGGAGCTCATAACGTGAAAGCATTTAGCTTTAAAATAAAGATTAAAATATTAGAATTAAAAAATTTAAAACTTAAATATATTGTTAAAATAATGAAATACAAAAGGAAGAAAAAATATAAAAAGAAAAAATACCTTAGTTATGAAAAATTTTGAAACATCAAATTTATAAATAAAATGTGTATAGGTTAATAATAGTTTGACGGAATGATCAATAGCAAGAATAAAATACAGTATATGAAATTTCAAAGATGCATTAATAAATTTTAAAATCAAATCAACTCTCAAGGGGAAGATTACTATAATTGATAAATTGCAACTCAGACAAGTAGGTAGTTAAATAGATAGATATAGAAAGTCCTTCCAGATGTATAATTAAAAACAGAAAATTAACAAAAGAATATTGTGCAGAGTTAACATGTTTTTACCCTAACACAATTCAAAATGTTGACCAACTTTGCAGTATTTCTCTTTGCAAGAAATCAATCTAATTAATTCTGTATTGATCCACAATCAGGCAAGCATTGTGCAGCCATAAGGCCTCTGTATTATTTTAATGGGGGACTCCAGATGCTGCTTTATTTTCTCAAAGAATTATTCCCCCTTGAAGAATTATTTCCATCCCCTTCCTTATTAGTCTTATTTATATT